GCTAATTCAGATCCGGAGGAGATGTTTCGTTTGTCAGCCGTGGCTACATGACAAGGCTGTGGCATGGACCCTCAACATACTTTCCATCTTAGATTTCCTCAAATGCAGGTTATGAACACAGTTGCTTTCTGCCTGTTAGTAATTACTGTCAACCATGAGGTGACAGCTCAGTAGCTGTCATTTAAATATATTAAGGCTGACATGCAGGTTCAGAACTTCCCTTTCTGTGGCTCTGAATTATTTAATCATCTGCAGTTCAACCAGAAAAGAGCTTGGGGCTCTCTCCTCTTGCCCCCCTACCCACTCTTCTGCTCAAGAAATTGAATCTTCCTTGGACATCACTGGGTGTACACAAAAAAAAAAAACCTTCTCAGGAGCTCAGATAATTCCTGAACTGATCACCCCACTGGGAGGAAGAAATGCACTTTCCCAGAGAACTGTGCAATTCAAGACTTGAGGATGAATCGTTCTACAAGCCATGGGGAGTGTGACTGATGCATTACACCATCACACACAACCGGGATTAACGCGGGTTGCTCATCACCGATTGTCATCTGGGACAGGTTTGCACCTGGGACCACACACATAGGTTTCAGTGTGACTGTCCTCAGCTCATCCCTCCCTCTCTGGAGAGATACAGAGACAGAAATATCCCATGAAATGAAAGCAGTATTGTATGAGAAGAACATTCTTGAAGATATCCCCTTGGGGTTGGGCTGGAGCACAAAGAGGGTGAGGACTGCTGCTCCTCCAGGCCTGGCTGCTCTCAGGCACAGAATGGGATTTACAGCAAAGGAACAGATGGAGAACAAGTAAAAACCTCTATTTTAAGGTCATATGCATTGCAGTTTTATCTGTGCTCTTGTTGTACTTAATATGTGCAGTCATACCAGCTCAGCTTTCCCACTTAGAAGACACTAGACAGCTACTAATAAGCATATAATTAAAGTAGTTATGTTGGTTTAGTCTTTTGTTAAGGCTAAAGACCAAACTGAGTCACCCACAATGGCTCGCGGTTCCCTTCCGTGGGAGACAGGTCCCTGGTCACGGCACAGCTCTGCACTGCCCTACACGCAGCAAATGTGGCAAGTCCCATCCCAAGGACGTGCCAGACCATAGACACATCGAATCATAGACTGGTTTGGGTTGGAAAGGACCTTAAAGCCCATCCAGTGCCACCCCCTGCCATGGGCAGGGACACCTCCCACTAGCCCAGGTTGCCCAAAGCCTCATCCAGCCTGGCCTTGAACCCCTCCAGGGATGGGGCATCTCCTGCCCCAGGCTCTGCTCCATAGCCAGCAACCACATCGTGCCGTGCGAGCTGAAGTCCTCTGTGTGGCTCTGACCTGGGGGACCAGTAAAGTAGGTGGTTGACGTTCATCCAGCACTCGGCTTTCCCAGGGCCACGCTCCCAGACCTTGCTCAATCTGCACGTTGTGCGGGCTGCGCGCTGGCTTTTCCAGTCTGTCTGCTTTCGCTGCCACGGGCTCCCAGACAGCTGCAAACCAGCAGCTAGAAAATTTCCTCTGTACTTTCAAACTCACCTTTTATTTTGTATACTACTTGGGCTTAGAACTGGAGGTCATTTCAAATATCTTATTCCAGTGTAACTGCCATTTATACAAGCTTTGCAATGGAAGCCCAAAGCAGGAAACCTCAGCTCGCTGTCACGTTGATGCATCAAAGTCCGTCAACCGTAGCAATGCCCCCAGCCAGGCAGAACGGCCACAATGTGCTGCCTTTGTGGCACCAACCTCAAAGAGCAGCAAAATACCTCTCACACAAAGGAGGGAGTGCTGCCAAACCACGAAGAACCTGCTCTTACCATCGCTCGCAGCATGCACACCCATAGCTTTGCTCTCACGGAGTTTCTAACCTGGGGAAATAGTGGAGATGCATCCCCCTGCCCTCTGTCTTGGGTGGGAAGCAAGGAGACAGGAGGAGAGACATCTACAGAAAACACCTCTTGCTGTTCTTAGATTGTGCATGTATAAAAAAAAAACCCCAAAAAACAAAAAATACCCCAAAAATCAGGCTGTTCCAAATAGCTGCACGTGTGGGTTTTGATATAAAATGAGCTGAACCATTCTAGAGCACTTTTTTTTTTTTTTTTTGGCCAAGTTTTAAAGACTTTTCAAGAAATTTGCATTAACAGCCACCTCCAAAATTCACAAGAGGTAGTAAAAATTAAAAATGGGCACCTGACCTCTGCCCATTGCCAGAAGGGGATCCTTAAACAAAAATAGCTGCATGTGATTTTTCTTTTTTTCTTTTTCTTTTTTTTTTTTTTTTAATTCAACAAAGGAGAACAGATGTAGAGAAAAGTACCCTCAAAGCTGTGGTTATAAAGTTCAAGTCAATGTGCAACCAACACTTGTGGGGTTCTCCAAGGGTTAGAAATGATGTTGGTCCTGGCATGGGCAGGGGTCAGGGGACAGAAAGGGACGTACTGGAGAGACATAATGCTCCTGCTGGGACCCTGCATGGCATAAGTGAAAGGAAACGCTGCTGCCAAGGGCCACTCCAGCCTCTCCCCTGGCAGCAGCCACCAGTCTGCCCTTCCAGCCTCTTGGCATTCGTCATTGTATTGCCTCCAGCTCTCTCCTGCCCAGAAGAGCCACATAGCCTCAGCTTTAAACTGTTTCTATACGATAACTGTGTGCAAATAGATATGAATAATATAGCACACCTCATTCGCAAATACAAAACACCCAAATCTTTGCTATATACTGAAGCTGAGTAAAGAATAATCAGCTCGTTCTTGAGATCTCAGTGCAACCAACAAAAACCCAACAGGTATTTAATACCAACTTCACTAAACTTTTGTGTACCATCTGGAACCATCACCTGTTCCATTTTTACTTCATTTCTATTTTGGCCCCTTCAGGGTGCACGTAAGAGAATATTTCCACAGAGGAAGCATCTTTCCATAGCAATGACTGCAATGGTTACAGGGTAATGACCGTATCCACACGGCCACCACTGGCATCCAGCACAAACACAGGCTGATGCCTTGCAGAGCTCCAGGAGCAGTTCATGACTATTTACACTTCTCACCCCCATTGTACCAAAAGCTTTTAAAGTAATTAGTTTTCCCTCATTAAGAGATGCACTGCCTGGGGAAGGGCACATGGGTGCTCCCAAGCCCCATCCTGGATTACAGGGCAGCACGACGTGGTCTTGGAGTGGGAGGTTCAGAAGCGCCACGCTGGGCTGATGGGGAGGGCAACACCACCGCAACGTTTCTATAAACACATTATTCCCAAGGCAGAACTGCAGGGGTTATTTTAGCAAGCTCACAGAGCACAACAGCAATAAAAAATATTCACAGGACGTCAACACAAAACTCACGGACCGAAATCAGAAAGATGAACAATATTTATTAACATCACTTTTATGGACATCCAAAGGTACTTGATGAGACAGCAGATGTCACAGTGATTTTTTTGCTAAAGTTGCATCCTATCCTAAAAGAAACGAAGTGGACATACCTCACGGACCATAAAACCTACAAACACAGTCAGTGGGGTGAGTAGTGCTGTTCCAGCGCAAGCACATCTCTAAGAAAACACGTGGGGCTTGTACCTTCTCCCTGACACATCTAACATGTTATTCCATTTTTCTTTTTTGTACTTTTTAGAAGCAGACTAGACATTTGGTAAAGTCTGATTGAATATTACCACTAACGCACTCAAACGCATTCACTAAAAACTGTGTTGCCAAAATTATATTACAGAAGAAAAAAGGTAAACCAGACACTGTTATCTCCTTGAAAAATATAGGCTTTACGCTACAGCACCTACTGATGTGGGGCTACTGAAACCAACAGGATTACTTAACATGAATGAGGATTATTCCCATGATTAAGGAGTGCAGGATTACATCCATTGTTTGCATATCTTCTGTTATTTACATATCCCTATTTTCACCTGTTTTTTTTTTTTCTCTCAAAACAGAGGCAGAGCATTTAATTACCGTTAGCACTAGATATCATTACACTGTACTTTCATCCCTTCAAAGTTTGCCTGTCTTTTGGATGTCAAATAAAATGCTTTTATGATCAAAACAAAGAAAAGAAAGTAGAAGCAGCAGAAACTGGACTATGTAATTAAAACCAAACAAATAAAAAGAAGGAGAGCTCGTTATCCACAATTGAAACTTATTCATGATTCATTTCATATTCCTAGGCCTCTGCTCTTGGGAGCTGAATATTTCTGGCAATTTTTGAACTGTGCCAAGCAGTGAGTTACCTGAGAGTTCTCAGGCAATGCTGATAGTATCTCTACTGGAAAATAACAAAAAAATCAGACAAACAACTGGAACAAATACTATACGTAGGTATACTGATAATGAACAATAAAGAAAAACATTTTGATGCTTTTCACCTTATAAAAAAAGTGATAAGTGTAGCTTTAGTTCATCACTGCCTTATGCTTTACATACAAAATATCTCTCCTTCCTATCTTCAGAAAAATAAAGTTACCAATGCTTTTCAACAGAACAGTTAATGCATAGTTAATGTTTATGATATCGAATAATTAATGCATGGTATGAATGTTATGCAAGTCTCAGTTCCTGTTTCCCAGCCCAATCAGAAATGCATTTAGCTGAATAAAGAGCAACACAAGTTACGCTTACACCAGGGAACCAACATTTCTTCTGAAAAGTAACACATCTTCTTTTAGATTCTCAGTTTTGCTTGCAAGAAATTAAATTTCGATGACAAATATATTTTGGTTTAGTAGTGCGCTACAGGGATCTGAAAATTGAAATAATACGAGTTAGTGTAAGGAGGCTTGGTCCTAACTTTATTGTTGTTTCTGTAGCTGCTGTTTATATATTTTCAAGAGTCAAAAATAAAGATAGCGCATGCCTTTTTAGGCTTCTTTAAGTTATTTTAAAAGCAGATTATTTTTAGAAAGACCGGTGAAATACCGCACACTACAGTTACCCTAAACCGAAAAAAGTTGCAGAAAACATCAAAAGTTGCACAAACTTACCAAAGCAACCCGTTTTCTTCCAAGAAGAGTAGCTGATAGTCAAATACATTTGAGTTACAAAAGACTGTGCTTCCCGGCTCCATTTGGCATAAGGTTTAACCTGAAAATCCACCCGGCTGTGTCGGGCGCAGCGGAGGCACGACATTCTCCCCTCTCCAGAAGGCATTTGGGTGCTCTCCGGGGACGTGCGACGGCCCGAGTGTGGCAGCCACTTGTTGCAATGGTAACAGGGAAAGCCAGGATCTGCCCGCTCAGGCTGCGAGAGCATGAATAATTCATGCCTTCCACCTCCCCGCATTAGCATGCCGCTCAGGCAACTCCAACCAAGCCATTCATTTTTGTCCTTTGTCTTCAAGAAAAGCTGGCTGGATTAATGAGGGTTGTCCGTGATGATCAGACCTGGCTCTGCTGATTTATTTAGGCTGATTGGTTAGAATTTGTGTCCCTAAATGCGTGGGGTTTTTTTATAGCCAGAAGAGAAATTCAGTTGTGCATCCTCCCAACCTCCGGCAGGGCCGCGTGGGTTGTTCGGCTACAGCAACACTATCCAGCTACAGCACATGAATGTTTCATTTTCTGGACTTAAATATTGAAGCTGAGCTCTTTGTTTGCGAGTGCTGGTCGAGGAAAGTTAAGAGGAAAGCTCCAAGCACGCTCCACGCACGTGGTTTTGCACATATTTCTGTCATGACCTCTTGGGCTGTGAAATAGCTAAGAACCGGCTTCCAAAATATTTGTGTTCTAGGGACATGAAAAAAAAAAAAAAAAACCTGCAATGAAACCCATCAAATTGAGAATTTACTGGTTTTTTTATTAAAAAAACCCCCATCCATTGCAGTGTACTTTTTCAAAGAGGTTTTTAAAGGTGATATTTTAATTTTTATTCCAGGTTTTTTAAATAATTAGCAGTAGCACCATTATATTCTGTGATGTTTCCCATCTAGAAATCTATAAGTGAAAATAACTGAAAACGAAATCAACCTAATTCTGATTAATTGATCGCAAAACTAATAATTGAACACAATTAACAATTTTTTTAAATCAATTACCCGTGTAGTTACATAATGCATTATTGGGATGTAGAAACGGATTTTTATCATCTTGTCTGACACTGCTAAGTAGAGCACTGGAATATTGCATTAGTTTGGTATCTGTATTCTAAATAGGACACTGGCAAATAATAAAATGTAGAAAATAGCTGCAGAAGTTATTTGAACCCGCTAAGGATAAAGGTTTTAAAAATATGCGATTCAAGCTGCTTTGCTGTCAGACAGGATATTGAGAGTTAACTTGAGTACAGTGTACAAAGGGCTTTACAAGGAGAAAATACCTGGAGTACATGCTTCTAATGGAGAAGGTGATTACCTACTGCAAATTCTACTGAGTACACTAGTGACCTCCGCATTTCCTAGGTACCTTTCTAGAAGCCATGCTTTTGCCAAGCAAATAACAAAAAGTGATTGGAGGCAGAGCAGACAAAAACACTTAAAATGCAGGGAACATAAGAACAAATTCCTCAAAATCCTCTTGGCATTGTATCGTGTTTGTGTAGCTCACTGAAGTCCACAGTACATACCTTCTTATCGGTTGAGTACAGTGATTTAGGTAATCTTGAAAATTAAAAAAATGTGCATTAATGTCAAGATTTCATCCAGAGAGCCACAAGACTGTAATGCCAATGAGGGTGATGAATGTATCATGGCAGACTTCAGAATATTCACTGCTCAGCCTTTGTAGAACAACCCAGGTGGACGCACTTTTCTTCCCACAATTTTCTCACCATTCCAGTTAAGAAAGAAAAATAACTTGGAGCACCAGGATACAAAACAATTTGATTTTGTCTGAGAAACAATAAGTGAAGCTTTTTTCTGCCTCTCATATTCTTATTCTAGACTGTTTTAGACTGAGAGAAGCACAACTTCATTCAGTCTTTGATGCAGATGGGACTGAATGACTTCCAAGACTTTGATCCCCAGCTTAAAACTGCAGCAGGGACAGAAGTTTGTGATAATCTGCTAGATTTTGGCACCAACTAGAACGTTTTGTTTCTTCCAGATTGCAGGTGCAGCAGGGTTTCAAGGTGGTGATTACAGAGATCAGTGCTGAGCTCATCCCCTCCTGTGGTGGGCTTCTAACCATGGCCAAAGATGATGATGATGTTTTCACCTAAAATAACGCTATTTCTTCACCTGCACTAAATGTTGAAAACGTCCTTTAGGATCTGTGCAGCATTAAAGGAAAGGTTAGGCAGAAAGGGAGAAGATGGCCAGCCAGATACTGGCCAACTCAGTCCTGGGAAACATTTTCCCGCAGGATGTACCGAGAGCAAATTTGCTTTTCATTCCGTATATATAACGATATCTCTGGCTGCAGCTGTGGAAGGGGATTATGCAGGTCGATATCAGCAGAACAGCTTCAGAGATGAAGTTGGCATGTCCTGCAATTTCTCTAGAGGTCTCCAGGTAGATGGTGAACAGGAATGAGTGCAAGGAATAGCTGTCTACGGATGCTCTGCAAGTTTTGCCTGAAAAACTGATTGACACAGCTGTAGCTCAACCTACCCATTCAGCCAGTGTCACGTATACAAGTCAGTGACAAATTATGGTTGACTGTGCTTGAAAGCTACAGAAATGTTGAGTAGCACAAGCATGAAGATGGGGTTCCTATCCATTGCCATCAAAATATCATCTCTTAGTGCTGTTGACAGTTTAATAGCTACTTCTGCACATTGGAGAGCATGGTGAAGTACTGCCACTATATTATTAACCTAGGTTGGAACTTTTCTGCAAATGCAGAGCAACAAAACCACACAAATGGAGCTTCTGAAATAGTTTAAGATTAAAGGTATGCTGTTCACAACATGAATAGTATCTCTCTAATTGCATTTCAGGAGGATCCAGTAACACTTTAACCCCCAATTACATTATAATTTTTTTTTTTCAGATCAAATTGATTCCATTCCATTTTAAACATCCAGATGATGACATTCAGTTCAAATCAAGTGTTTTAAATTCTGTTTGTTTCCTCTAGGCAGCATGGGTTGGAAGGGACCTTAAAGCCCATCCGGTCCCACCCCCTGCCATGGGCAGGGACACCTCCCACTAGCCCAGGTTGCCCAAAGCCTCATCCAGCCTGGCCTTGAACCCCTCCAGGGATGGGGCATCCACAGCTTCTCTGGGCAACCTGGGCCACTGCCTCACCCCCCACACAGGGAAACATTTCTTCCCAGTATCTCATCTCAGTCTCCCCTCTTTCAGCTTAAACCCATTACCCCTCACCCTATTGCTTTACTCCCCAATAAGGAGTCCCTCCTCATCTTTCCTGTAGGCCCTCTTTAAGCGTTGAAAGGCTGTTTTATCTCCACTGCTCAGAATAAAATGCCTTTGTTCAAAGTTGCATCCACATATGTAATTACTTGAAATCACTCCTCGAATATACTGAGTTGCATCATACCTTTGAAATGGTTTGCATGCCCTGAATCTGTCACAGCTCAAAGATGACACATAGAATATCACACAGACTAAGCATATAGCATAGCTGGGAAGGGACAGGGTGATCTATGGAAAAGATTTGGGATGTGTGACTGTCTATTGATGCCTTTAAATTAGCTGTCACTGTAGGATCTGGTTGCTGTCAAGGTGTTGCAACAAATCGGTGAGATGCATCTAGGAGGTTAGTGAATCCACTCTCTGCTCTGCCCGTGGGCTGACCCTTCCCTGTTGGCTGTCCTTCAGGGTGTCACCTCAGATATTTGGCTTGTTTGGTTTTGTTGTTGTTCTTTGGCATCACTGGCAGGCCACGTGTTGCCTATGACTGCCACCTACTCAAGGTGGCCCCTAGCCAAGGTGGCCAAGCTGGCCTTGGGATGAAACACCAAATGGTGGCTCTTCTGGCACGTGGCACCAGGAGGGACAATGCTCCAGGACAGCCAAGGACAACACCGTTAAGCAGCCCTGGAGAGCCGTGGTGATGGGGTGTCAGACTTGCCAAAGCCAGGGTTATGCATCCTGCCCTGACATGATTCCCCATCTGTTTTTTTCAAAGTACCAGGAAAACAAAGCAGTACAAAAAAAAAAAAAAAAAAAAAATAGACAGGGGTAAAAGTCAAGCTGTGAAAAGAAAAGTCAAAAGCCAGAAAATTCAAAGTTAATGCTGATTCTTTAACTCAAGTCATTAACTCAGAGGCATGCCTGAAGCCTGGGCAGAAGCCTTAGCTGAACCCTTGCTGGTTTGTGCAACGGGCTGAGGATTCACACATCCGAGAGGGCACAGATTCATACGTGGATATAGGAGGGGAGCGGGGACTGGGTAGTTAAAGGGCTGGAAGTCACTGGTATGGGGAAAAAGAAGGGCAATCGAGAAACAGATTTCCTGAGAAATTAAGTAGGGGAAGGGAGGTGAGAGAAGAGATAAGCTCATCCCAGAGACTGGCAGAAAAAGAAAGATTAGAGACACTAACAAATGAGAAATACGAGAGAGAAGACGTGCGTTAAAAGCTGGCCAGGGAAAGAAAGAAGGGCAGATAGGAAAGATAGGGAATAATTGTGAAAAACACAGTGAGAGGAGAACGACTTGGATAGGGATCTGGTATCGATCTGGCACAAAGATGGGGACTGGAGTGAAAATGGAAGGAGGACAACAATCTCTCAGAGGAAAAAATGTAATCAGGACAGTGAGAGACTGAAGAATTAAAATCAACAGGAAAAAAACTCCTCGCATATGGTGGCAGGGGACAGCAGAGTCAGAGCATGTCAGATTTGCTCCTCTTTGGGAGCCAAGGTAGGACAGGATTGAAGTCTCCTTTCCCCTCTCTGCCCAGGATGCTTTGCATATGGATGCTGCTGGCTGAGTCCTATCCTTAATTTCTGCTTATTATTTCAAAAATTCAAATTACACTAGAAATAGACAATCTAAGGCAATCATTCAGACTGCAAATGAAACACCCCAAAGTAAGGAAATTCTAAGAAAACAGAGGAGGAAGGTTTTGGCAAACCCTGTGATCCATCCATATATATATTGCCCTTCTGTTCAAAATCTTACAGTACTTTGGCTCTTTGAAAATACACACAGCTGGATACTTACATTTAATTAAATAGTTTTTAAGATAATGACTACAGCAGCTTCAGCATAATTCACAATTAAAAGCAATCAAACCCAAAATTCAAA